GCTCCAGGCATTTCACATGATCTCATAGAAGCTAGATCAGGTTGGGTCATGAATAGACGCTTGCTTTCTAAATCTGCTTAACTCTATAAACAAAGCCAAAGGAATTGAATGGGATCAAACTGCGGGGTCGGCACAGGACAGGTTTACAATCGGTCAGTGCTAACTACAAACATTTTTTTATCTAAATTCTGTTAGAGCAGCCAGCATTTTTGGAGGCCTCTGATATAACACTGCAGGAGTCAAGGAAACAAATTCCCATGTTAGAGGAAGAGAGGGAAATGGAGGAAAGGTTTCACTGTCTGTTGGACGTATCAGTAGAAAATTAAAATCACAGACTTCATGGGAGACCAAAGAGGAAGATGTGGAAAAAATCTAAAATTAGAGGAATCTAAAAAGTCTGTTTGCCTCTGGTTAAAAACATGGACTGCTACTGCCTCCTGGAAGACCACACATCTTGACTGGGAAAGAAGAGGCAGGAGAAGGTCTCAGTTTTTCCGGGCTGGCACCAAGAATCATGTAGAATGCTTACTGGTGTATATACTTTCACTAATTAGTTTCTCTGCTCATTTATCTGTTCTGTAGTTCTTAAATGAATATGTACAGTAGCACACAGTATGTGCAAAGAGTTTAATATCTCAGTTTAATGGCCCTATGAAAGAAAGAGTCCTTTTGAGTTGTGACATGAGATGACGAGATAAGTAGTATAATGTAAAATGAATTCCAACAAGGTTGTAATCCCAATTAAACGGAAGTCGAACTTTCATTGTGATGTGGACAACTGTAATGGTATCAGAATGGGATATAGTACTAGGAGTAGTGACCAGAATGTTTTTCAGACAGTGGTTTCTTGCTAATGAATAGTAGTGAAAATCTGTTTATAGCACAGTTATCTAAGGCTGAGAGAAATAAAAAACCAACAGGTACACAAGCTCTTCTAAAACCCCATATAGCAACTAATGCCTAAGTATACTGTTTTTATGTAAATATTAAATGAAAGTTCAGCTATTTGCTTCTAGTTTTCTTCCAGCTTGCCCGATTTCAATACATTCAAGTATGGCCATGGTAGTTTCCTTTTCTTACTCCCATGGTCACCTTTTCTCTAGATAAAACCTCAATTATCTTGTCCACTTACAATGAAGAATGCTTTCTATGTTGACATTTTAAAAATTTTCAAATGGGCAATTAGATGGCAAAGTCTTAATTCCCATTGCATTCACAGTCAGCCACACAGCTTTCTTACACTGTCCTGGTAACTGCAGCTTTACCTAATCATACTTAAACTGCATTCAAAAAAATTAATAGAAAGAAAGGTCATTATGCCAAAAACAGCAGGTCAAGATTTGAGGTCCTGCTTTCCTATGGAAACTTCAGAGTATACCACACTCCTGACAGCCATTCTACTTAACTCATAAACATAAATATTATTTAGGAGTTTAATTTTAGGTGTCTATTCTCTTATTACCCTAGTTTTTTACTATTTTAGTGGAGAGACGTTAAGGATAAGGGCTACAGTTATGTCATATGCAGCTTACAACGTTTTTAGTTTTACAAAACGTGAACACACTTGTCACTGGTAATTACAAATAAACAAAGCTGATTTATATGAGCTCTAAAACTTTTGTTCTATCTTAATTTTAGTAGAAATCTTTGTCACGGATTGACTATAAGTCTGCTCTGAACATAGAAATAACCTGTTTGATCACTTTGCTAGCTAAATTTCCAGTGGGCAATGCTTCCACTGAAAGTCTAAAAAGGAAGGTAACATTCTAAAATCTGTAAAATGGCAATGTCATCAAATACCCATCATAGTGGTTTATATGTCAATAAAAATCCCTCAAATGGAACTAGCAACAATATTTTCTCACAGTCTGCTGACAAAGTGAAACCCTTATCAGATAGGCATACCTTAACTTTGAAATTATACCACTGCTGTTTTATCAGCAGATAGATATTCTGACTTCTCTAAAAATCTCCTTTTCATTAGTGTGTGGAAAAAGATGTAGGGAAGTCACCATTAGCAATGTGCAAAACAAACTGCTCAGATTCTTATTCAGATGTCAAACTATCACTTATAAGTGGGACCTATGACATCTATAGAGCAAAAAGTCTTCATTATGATACAATGAGCATCTTTCTTATGGATAATAATTCCTATGCATTCCACCAGGTGTATTACAAATAATGCACTTTGCTAAGTAGCTTCGCCCCCAGTGCCCTTTTTAGGGGAGATAAAAGTTAACAGAAACTTTCCATTGAAACTGGAACTCTATTTGGAAGTATTCAGCCAACAACAAAGATGCAGGATAACATATGAATGGTCATGTTCCAGCTAGTCTAATAAAGGCTTTGGTTGCAGTTCTTGGAAGAGTTTGAATAACATGTTTAATCAATTCATAATAGGTCTGACTTTGTGTGTTTCTAACATAGATGATACCTTAGCGTTACAATAATGAGACAATTTGCCCTTGCTCCCCTGTAAGTCTTGGATTACCATGTTCAATGGAAGCTCATGAAGGGAGTACCCTACATCTGACTCCCTGTGGTAAAAGAGATTAAAAAATAAACAAAAAATAAAAATACAAAATAGGCGGACTGGTCTACGTATATCAGGGTAACTCAATACATATACTGATGCAGCTCGCTCAGATGCTGCCTTTCTCATTCAGCCTTTGCAGAAGGCCCTGATACAGCAGTTGATTTAACAGAGCTGAATAGATTTGTTAACTTTGAGGGATGCTATAAGGTTGACTTTCCAGCTGGTCTGGATGAGATTATTGTTCCATTGCCTTTTGCCAGCAAGTATATGAATCTTCTAGAATCTTTGTGCTTTCAGCAAATGCTTGCTGAGGGTACCAGCTCATCTTTAATTTTGACAGCTAGCCTGTGCTAAAGAGTAGAAAAGGAAAAAATACCATGCTAAGCAAACCAAATTTATGCTGTTGCCCTTATCTCAACTTCTTTACAGACGAGGATTATTTAATAAACTGTACACTTCTGAAATTTTAGGCTTGCATAGTGTACAATGCCAGAGGCTTTCAACAATCATTTATTTCTTGCACTTTAAAGACAGGATTGAGGAAGACACAAAACTCTGAGGAACCAGCCTGGGAGCAGGCTTCAGACAGAAAAGTAGATAAAGCAGATGTTTTGCATTCTAGGAAGCTAAAAATAAGATAAACAAATCTTTTATTTTGTTATGGGTAGTCTCCACAAAAGCTAGGAAAGCAAAGTTAGTGTGTCAGAGTGTAAAGGCAGAACACAGCAAAGTTTAGAAATCAACAAGATTGTAGGATGAAAAAAAGATTAAGTAATCCTATAGAAAATAATTCATCACCATATATTAGTATAGAAAATATTTGCAACAATCTATCTGAAGTGGTGTTTAGTTAAGCCATATTTCATGTAGGGTCTGATAAGTACTTCTATTGATTGCATATTGATTAATAGAAATGACTGCATTAAATACAAATTCATATTACAGTAGAGAGACTTTATCCATCAGTGTGCATATGCATTTCAGAGCTATTTCAGAAAATGATACAATTCCCAGACTTACATATGCATAATAACATTGAATTTATTTTGAAATGTTTATTACACTTCCATTTGGCACTTAGGTCCCAATCCTTGGAAGTATTTAGAAGACTAACTGCAAATGCATGAATCATAGTTCAGTTTACCTGTGGTGGGAAGGACAGCTTAGGAAAGAGCCATAATGACTGCAGTATTTCTTATTGACTGGTTATAAGCATGTAATTCAGAACTTCCCGGCTACTGAGAGAGAACCAGAATCGGGGAAATTTCCTCTAGTTTCAAAGTCAGTTGTTTTTAAATGGCACTTCAGACCAGATTTTTGGTATCCAAAACAGTCTATTCAGTAGCACTGAGAGACACTGCAATGCTGCTAGTCAAAATAGTTTTCCCAGGATGCCCTTTTGTTAACACAGTGTTATAGAGATAGACGCATCCTAGGCCCCTATTATGAAAATCCTACAGCATGGGGGACTTTGATATAGACATAATCCTGGAGGATTAGGATAGGATCCAAGGACACCAGGGCAGTGATCATGACACAGCAAAGCATGCAGTTAAATGCAGAAGCACAGGAAGGAAAAGGTGGGTCTTGCTTTTGTGGCGACTCAGGTTATACACAAACAAATAAGGCATGCAGCTCTTCTAAAAACTGATCTGCTATGTTCAAGATATCTAACCCTAAATTTTAACATGAGTAGTTTGAAAGAAAACAATTTCCATCACTAACTGACGATTTTTCAGTTTTCTATTAATCAGGGTATGTATCTAAATTAGTCCTTTCCTCATATAATGTTTAAATTGTTTGCCATCACTATACAGATATGTATTTTGAGAAAGAACAGCCAAGATAACAAACCAGTCATCACTGGACCATATTTCAATTAACATATAGCAATATGCACAGTTACTAATTTTAGTGTGCAATATGAAAATGCCTTGACTTCATTCCATGTTCTACAATTATTTGTAAGGCAAAGACAATTCAGTTAGGTTTTTTGTACTTGGTGCATTAAGCTAGTAAAATAAAAAGTCTGCAACCTTTTCTAGAATTGCCTAACCCAAATAAGAAACACCTATCTCATAAAACTAGTAAATGGCATAGACATTCTCTTTTAACCAACCTCTTAGTGGAAAAGGTACATAGATTTCTAAACTTTGTATTAAGAATGACCTTTGTCTAACTACTAGATTGATCTCAAAGAATCCTTAACACAAAAAAGGCACCATGATTATTAGCAACCTAATTTACAAGCAAATTGGTTTACAAACAATCTTAACTTCCTTTGATGATAGCTGTACTTCATACCAGTGAGAGAATTATGCTAGTTTGCTATATTCAGACTTGTTTATGTCTGAATATTGATTTATTGATTTATGTCAACCATATTGATTTTACAGAACATCAATGTGCACAAAATGAACAGTATTTACAACAGTAATTATCATTAGTTCTAATCGTGACTTACTCTTGATCCTTTTTCTGGAAAGCACCGACAAACTGAACAATCCTGTCCCCCACATGGGTCAATATATGCATATCCTCCCTAAAAATTGAAAGATTATGGATTTATTAATATGCAACAGACAACAACCACTTCATCAAATATTGTCAAGTGGACATAATGTCCAATTAGATGATTTTTCAGGAAAAAGATTTGGCTACACTTGCATACCCACAGGGCAATTTACTGCTGATGAAGAAACCTGGCATAGCAGCAAACATCAAAATATTGTGTTGATCTTCAGCTTGACACATATGAACCTTTTCCAATGCTTGCTTAACAGAATACACACATCAATACTACATTTGAAATCCTCCTAACCTTCCTGGACCTCTCATCAGCATAAACATGCTGGTAAAGTAGAAGCAATAAGGAAAAGCTTATTACTGTTGCTGTAGAAGGTGAAAGGCATTACCTGCAAGTCATGTTAAGTAATGCTGAATATTACAGCTAAATACAACTAAGGAAATAAGCTGCATCTAGAAATATTTTAACAGAGTCAGATTTAATTTGTAATAATGTGAGATTTGTAATCCATCACATTACTCTAGGAGATTGTTTAACTACGATTAAATGATAAAAGGCAAAACTGGCTGAAGAGCAACAAGCCCACTCCAGCAACAAAGCCTTGTATTAGTCCTTGCCTATTAAATGAAAAAAGAAGTATGTGCATGATGTAATTATGCATTGCCTACCATTAATTTACTTATTTCTTGCATTAAAACAAAACACATCATCTTAATAGCAAAGAAGTGACTACTTTGTTTCATCAAATTGCAGAGAGGGAAAAAAGCGTATTCAAGGAAACTAAAACACAACAAAATGTAAATTCAGTAGATTTATTGCATGGTAAGTGAACATGATTTTATTATTCTTTTCTATTTCTCATAGTGTAGTACTAAAGATAAATCAATTATGCACTCTAAATGCATTTATCAACTCACTTAGATGGCTGGAATGTCCACTAGGTGACATTATTTTTTCGTAGTATTTTTGCATAAATTATCAAAGTGGTTTTGAAACAGATGAAAAGGACTTAAAAGATTTACAAAAAATTTAGGTAAACAAGTAAACAGTGATAATATGAAAATATTTGCTCAGTGTGGATTTCATTTTTATCAAGGTCAACGTTGTTTTGTTACTGGTTCTAATAACCAACAGAACACAATAGATTCATACTTCAATTTTTCAAGGAGAAAACACTGACAAATATTAGATAAGGAGGAAAAATTCTGTTCTATTTACAGTATTTTTAGAATATCTGGTACTCCCAAACCTCAGAACAAGAGGGTATGATGGTCTCTCTCACAGACTGCTTCTCATTTATACACTGCATTTCCCAAGAAATTACTAAACTAGTCTCTCACCTAGTTATTAAAAACTAGCCTCTACTGGAATGTCAGTGGAATGCAAGTTTCTAATAACACATAAGCTGTTACCCTTTGTTCTAACTGAACACATTTATTTTTAAAAAATACTTCAATTTTCAACAGTTCAACTAAAAAGGGATGACTTTGGGGGGAAAAACAACAAAAAAGAGCTTTTAAATACTTGAAAGAAATGAAGAGGATGGACCTGAAAGAAGTTTCATTGAAGGCATTGCAAACATAAGGTTACTATGGAGGACAGTACAGAGAGGAAAATAAAGTAGATACTGAGACTATATTATACATGAAATTTTGACTTCAGAGAGATGGGAATGTACAGGGACACCAGTTTAAAATCTTGGCTAACATACAGAGAAAGGCTTGAAAGCTAGAATGAGTTTGATACATGCTATAATGTAGAGCCACTGAGACAAGAGAGCCAAGGAGACAGACTTAGTGCACGAGAGAGGTTTTTTTACATGCAGCTTTCCAAAAGCGTCTGAAGATGCCAAAGTTAGAATCTAGAAGAATCCAAAGGGGAAAATTACAAAATAGTTAAGTTGAGCAACAGGAACTGAAAGGGAAGTGAAAACTGCAGAAATACTGAAAGAAACATCACAGTTTTCCCATAGAACTATAGAACATTCTGGTGTATATAGTGTTACTTGCTTGAATTATACCATCCTATCTATCAACTGTCTAAAGTAAATACCAATACCACTTACCCCATCAATTTCTTGTGCTGAAAAAACAATCAGGAACCACCTGATTTAAAAGAAGGAGAAAGCTAAATTAGAACTAAACTTCCAACATCCTTCACAGAAATGTAGCCTCCAAAAAGTGAGAAATATGTAGACATGATTAAGTCTCAGTACAGGAAAGACATGGACTTGTTGAAGTGGGTCCAGAGGAGGGCTGCAAAAATGATCAGAGGGATGGAACACCTCTCCTGTGAGGACAGGCTGAGAGAGTTGGGGTTGTTCAGCCTGGACAAGAGAAGGCTCTGGGGAGACCTTACTGCAGCCTTCCAGTACTTAAAGGGGTCTTATAAGAAAGATGGGGACAGACTTTTTAGTAAGGCCTATAGTGACAGGACAAGGTGTAATGGTTTTATACTAAAAAAGGGTACATTCAGACCATATAAAAGGAAGAAATTTTTTACAATGAGAGTTGTGAAACCCTGGCATATGTGGCCCAGAGAGGTGGCAGATGCCCCATCCCTGGAAACAATCCAGGTCAGGTTGGATGGCGCTCTGAGCACCTGATCTGGTTGAAGATGTCCCTGCTCATTGCAGGGACTAGATGACCTTTAAAGGTCCCTTCCAACCCAAACTATTCTATGATTCTAAATCCTGTTTGGGGTGATTGTTTAGTAAAAGGGTATATTTATAAGGGGTATGCATCATCAAGGGATGGTCAGCACATCTATATATATTTGTCTTTTTGGATTTGTGAGACTGAGTACAAACAGATAGGCATGGATAATACCATGTGAATGTCCTCATAACTTTCTCCCTGTAACTTATTTCCAATCCCACAATTAGGAATGGCCAGAGAGAAACCATTCCAGACAGATTTCTGAACCTCCACAGACACCATGGAGTAAAGATTGAGCAGAGATGGTGGTGACCTGCATCTGCTCCAAAATGAGTTAGCTGGTGCTGGTCTTTTTTGCTCAGAGAGAGTGAGAGAAGGTGGGGAGCAAAGCAGCACTCAGAATAGCCACACGATTCCAGACCAGCTGCTGGGGAAGCCCAGCTCCATGCCAACCGTTGCTAGTGATGGATTATAAAGTAGAAATCATGTCTTTTACAATTTCCACATGCAAAAAAAGAGGATAAAGTAGAACAAAAATTTCTGCAGCAATACAGGAAATAAGCATTGTTATTAATTACTATTAATATTAACATTATTATTAACGAGAACTAAGGTGCTCACTCATTATATGAAATGATAAATTAGATAAGGCCATAACGTATAGACTACTGTGTATTATTCCCCAGGCTATAGTGAAACCTGTATCAAAGTTACTCCAACCCTGCAAATACTTAGGCATTTAGTACATTTCCCAGAGTCCTATTGAGATCATCTCTATTTTTTTCTTTGTATTCATATGGTCAACTCTTTGGAGCATTGAGAACTGTGCCAGCACAACCACGATTACTCTCTCTGATTATTAATTATTCATAGATTCAAACTGCAAATTATATAATCTGTATATGCAGTGATATATACTGATAAATTCAATACAGACAAATTTAACATATTTTAGCCATTATGTATACATCTATATACTTTTTCAACCTACGTTGCCTGCAACTGTTTTTCAAATACACAGATTTTACAGAAACAAAGTATTTATGAAAATAATTAGTGGTAACTGAAGACAGAAGCTCATACTGTCCCTTGCTCAATGAGAAAAAAAGGACTGCTTAAACAATGTGAGATGCCAGTAAATGGTGAAGAAGTTTTGTGCATCCTAGTACTTCATCCTTTACCACATCAAGTAAATTTGTGTAGAAAGGATTTAACTTCACAGCAACACTTCATCCAGGTAGCCCACAATAGCACTGGTTTGTAGACAACTGCATTGGTTTGTGCTGTGATTGTTACTAATTTAAGGCCATTTTTGCTTCTAACCTTCTGAACTTGTAGACAGTCTCTAAATACTTTTTCCCATATCAACGCTGGCCAGGTGTGAGTTAATTTTCATTTAGGAAAATGCCAAGTTCTCATGAAGCCCTTGCACAACTGAAATGGAAATCTGATTATGCTGTTCTTGATGCACGGCACTGCAGTCTCTCCTTTTTCTAACCATGTACGGCAGGCATGAGTTTGCCAGATTGTTCTCTGTCATTTCAAAATCCCTGCCTCCTGAAGCCATAGAGACGCTGCTTATCTACTCAAATCAGCACAAGACTGTTAGAGGTAAGTAATTCACAAATAATGCAGAAAAAAGGCAAGAAGAACTACCTGGGAGAGGTGGCTGGGGTAGAAGGCTGCTACATTGGGGAGCAAAAAAGCATGCAAAAGACACTGGAGAGAGTTCAGGCATATTATCACAGCAGAAGACTGTCTATCAGCAAGGTTGTCAGGTTCAAGCAAGGCACATTTGCTGGGCCAGGTTCCCAGCTAGAAGAGCACAATTTCACATTCCTAAAAATCCTGGTGCATGAAGCTTTATAAAGATCTTCAAGCAAGAAGGAAAATTGCATTGACTTTTTCCTAGAAGGTATTATAGAGATGGAATCACTGATCCCACACATCAGTCTGGAAATTCTTGGCCACAGTGATCCTAATCTTCTCCTAAGGATCATTTTCCTCCAGAAAGAACTCCTTCCACAGCTGCTAGCAGGTATTTCCATCATAGTCGCTAAAGGTTTTCTTCGTGCCTTTTAATAATTCTCCCTCATCTGCAAAACTATTCTGGGACAGGCATTGAGGTTTGAGTTGGTCATTACATTTTCTTCTCCAAATATGCTCATCACTAGAATGTAGGAATATCTTGCATCTTAATTCTATTGACTCAGAATTATAGTTCCTATATTTTTATATAGAATCCTACTATTTAAATAGTGTACTACCTGAAATGTAAATGGTATAAGCTGATAGACCAGCAATCAAAATCAAATACAATAAATTATCATATAGGCTTATCAAACTTATGACAGGCTACAAATTATTTAACTGGTGATTTCTTATTACTGATAAATTGATAGTTAAGAATATACCTCAGTGACTTGTTTCAAAATTTAGTGATCTGTAAAACTCACCAGGCAGCTGTGATAAGCCACTTAATCCGTTCAAACGAATCCTTTGTTAATGCCATTCACACTGATTGAGGATCTGTATATGCAGCACTTTTTTTTTCCTTTTTTTTTTTAAACAGCAGGTCTTCTCTTTCCTTCTGTTTGTGGATGGTCTATAAACACTGTTCCATACTGTTGTTTTCCCCTCTGAACCTGTTTATATTAAAATACACATCTGATGTACAAACATGAATAATTACCAGATAACCAAAATATGTCCTAACCATTTATATATTTGATACTGCACAGCTGTAGTTGGCACTACATTGTATTATTCCTGTTCAGGCCACATTTTATTTTATCAGCAATCTAATTATTTCAAGGGGACTATATATGGAGTTACCGATCAACATAAAAAGGGTACAAGATTTCAGCCTAGAAAAGAGATAGTCTTCACTCAGTGTTTGAAATAATAAGCAAAGAGCATCTTGCATCATTATAATACATATATATATTGCACTTTTTAAAAAGCTATCATACCCACCATTTTAGCTAAAGGCATTAAAAAAAAAAAAAGTGACACCTGCCTGTCTACAGTAAAGATCTAATGAACTTTAAAAAAATTCAAGAAAATGTTGGCTATACTTTCAAGACAGTGTCTTCTGCAAACTGGCTGGACCAGTGTCTGTGTGTACACCTGAGCAAAAGGGGACTACTCTGAATGCAGCATAAGTCATATGCATTTTCAGCTCAAGAGTTCTACCCATATGCATGGGTAGATGACAATAATTGGAAACATTACCTAGATTTTTTTTAGCTTTATTTTTAGACCAGTTTTTCCACAGCTTTTGCCAGGATTTAGGAAGCTGGAAGCCCTAAGCACAGGACTGACCAGAGGCCTCTACAGTCCCAGACAGTCAAATTTTACATGCATAAATTAATTACACAGTCCATCTGCGACCTCTGACTTAGGTCCAACAGCATATATGCAGTTTTACGTGCAAATGTACTGCACCAGCCTTTTTGTAAGATCAAGCTTCACAAATCCAGAGAAATGGCCAACTCCTGTGCAAACTTTTACATCCCCCAAATAAGAAAAAAAGCTGTAATCCTTTGCAATAAGGCACATCTGGCAAATGATTCCTATCGGTTGTTTCAAACTGAGTGCGTAAGAGGCTGGGCTTTTCCTAGGATAGCACACAGATTATCACAGGCTTTTATTTTTTAGTGCTGTAGTGTTCCAAATGTGGGGAGGTTAATTTTGAGGAGACTGAACACTGACTAGAGTGAACTGACAGGGGTTCACTTCCTTTGGAGAAGTCTCCTGAGTAAGCAAAGACAATCACTTACTGAGAAGGGAGCAAGGACGTGAACCTGCAGCAAACTGGCTGTTCTCTGATAGCTGTTCAACAAGCAGCTCTCTTTTCTTTGTAAAACAACTGAGTGTACAGTTCCTGAAACATTGCTGTCTTGCTTTCTATTATTTAGATAGTGTAACATTTTTCTAACCAGAACCAATTTATAAAAACATCGACTCCTGTGTGTCTGCACAGTATATCCATATCTCACAGCATGAAGAAGAGACTTTGTAAGCACTGCACTGACTAATGAATAAATAGCCTAAGGGCAGCCAATCTCTGCTGCAAGATCACACCCTATATGTACTATACAGTACTCATTCATCTGCCAAATTCTTAGTCGCTTTCTGTGCCCCAGTTCCCCTTCTGTTAACAAAAAGAAAAAAAATAACAACACTCCTAATCGTAACATAATATTCCAATAATGTTCCTACCTCACTGATCTTTCAAATTAATAAGATTGTAAAGCACTGAAATACTGCAGGGACAGATTGCCTCAAATGGAAAATCCAAGCCAGTCATAAAGTGTTAGACTTCGCAGAAATTTGTTCATGTTGCCCACTATCCATCTTATTATTTAATTATCCAAACAGCTTCTGAAGATGAAATAGAAATTGAAATTTGGTATTTTTATTTTCAAATTAAAATCCATTTTGATCCAACCCATTGACACAGTTTAAAATCATACTTAATGCATGACTGGAAGACTTAAACCACTCTGCTTGCTATTTCATCATGGCTGTGAAAACCCCATCACTTTCTGAACAAGCTTCCTATCGTTTGAAGTGTTCATCAGCCAGTGCAATGATATAGGGACTACAAAGTGTTATTTAGATTAATATATTAAGGTGATCTCATGTTCTATATTTTGTAGTCATCACAACAGTACCTCAATAGAATACTTACCTCATTTGAAAGAAGATAAAATATCCACAGCATAACACACTCAATACCACCAAAGGAATAGGTTTTATAAAAGCATCACCAAACCTCACCTCATAAAATTCTCAAAGCCAGAGGGGGGAAAGGTAGCACTATAAGCATAACCTAAATGTTTCATTTCTAGACAAGGACCAAGAAGGAAGACAATTTCATTCTCAGGGACTCTGGTAAAATAAGACCACAGGCCCTGAGCCATAGTTTGAGGCAGACACACAGCTACAGTTATTGAGGTATAAAAAATTACAGCAGCCCTAACTATATTCTCATTATATCCAAATAAACCAACATCATGTGTAACAAGCCATTGAAGTTGCAAAGTCAAGGATTCAGAAGTTAGGAAATAAAAATTAGGGTCATGTGCTCAATTTTAATGTGGTTCTTTTATGAAAATGATTAAGATGGTAGTTTTAAGTACAAGAACATATATGCTGTTTTCCACAGGACTTCTGCCTCATTCATGATGGATATATGCCGTACCCTTTTCATCCTTTTCCTTAAGCCCTTCTTTTTCTTTTAGTGTCCTATGAAACTTTGCACTTCATACTAAATT